TATTTGAAGCCAAATAAGCAAAGGAGTGGCCACCGAGCGAGAGCGGGTTGGTTGGATTTAGCATCCGATTTGGAATTAGCATTGCGCAAGATTTAACTCAACAGCTGCTGTTTGGAATTGAGTTGGAAATTGAATTCGAAATTGAGGTGGGTGGCCATTTTGTTGGACAGGCCCAGTGCCAGAGGCTGCGAGGGGGCGGGCACCATCAACTTGCGCAAATAGCACCATCATCACGAACAATTGGTGCTAGTCCGTCTCCCACCTCCCACCTCCCACCTCCTCCATCCGCCCCGGGTCCGGGCTCGATTATGTGGGCCGGATTCCCATGAATTTTTCGGGGACCGCACACAGTCACCGCTCCGGTTTTTGGTTGGTTGGCTAATGAAAAGCTGAAAAACAATTAACTATAAATTAAACGCACAATTTTCAAAACAAAATAAACATCAGAGCATCATTTGTACTTTGTTTTCGTGTTTGTTTACGGCAATCCGTGTTCGGTGAGGGGGGAATAGTACGATTTACCTATAGAAACCGAAGTCATCATCCCAGAAATCCCCTAACCACTGGCAAACCCCATCGCCCTGGCATCATAGCAATTAGGCAATGTCGCTGGCTCAAATCCCTATTTGGGAATCCCACACCCCTTTGGACCCGGCCTATCCCATAAAACAAAGAGCACAACTTTAAAAACAACATCGGGTTTGAAATGGAGAATGATCGATGGGGGGAATACACTTTTTTTAATATATTATTATAAGCTAAGAAAATTAAAAACTTTATACAAAAATTAAAAGTTGTAGAACAACACTAACTAGCATAGTACTATTTAAATAATAAATAAATAAGGGATAAGGTTAAAATTAAGGATGACAGTGAATATCGATAAATCGATTCATCTTCAATATTTAAGACCAAACCCGATACCCAAATCAATATTTTAGACTTGCGAAAAGTAGATTTAACATTGCGATAACTTGATATTCTGTGAATTAAATAACTTTATACAATTGTTAATAGAGAATAGCCAAATTTTAACATTGATTGCGATAATTTTCGATTTTTGAAATTTCGATATGTCAAAGTTTTCGATATTTTCGATTAAATAGAACTTTTTTCGATGTAGATTATAATTAAAAATTTTTTAAAATAAATGAGGTATCAGCAATTTTTAGTTAAGCAGTAAAATGGTAAAATAAATTGAATTCATGAAGTTTTAAGAATAACAAATTGAAGTATAAATCTAAAGAAATTATAATTTAATATATTAAAGTACTTACAAATATAAATATACCCCACTAACACCTAGAGTATACAACTTTATAGTTTTTAGAGTTTAGTTGATGAATTTGTTGTGAAGTTATTCCTACCAAGAACTGTTAGGACCACGGCTGTTGCATAAACAAACTGAGCCGCTGGCAGAAGAACACGTGCACCAACAACAACACCAACAACAACACAAACAACACCAACAACAACAACAATAGCAATAGCAAATCGAAGTGTCAGTCGCAGTCGATGCTCATCCTCCGGACTAGGCCCTGGGCCTCCTTTTATGGCGCACATGTGTGCAGCAGACGACGACTATGTCGGATCCGATCGGATCAAGATCCGAGGGATGTATGTGGGCGAGCGTGGGGATCAGGAGCAATGGGTAGACAACGCCAAAACGCTAAAGCAAAGTGCATCGAAATGGGCCAAAAACAAAAAGAATGCAGTGCATTTTATAATAAGTGAACATTTTGGGCATTTTGTTTACACTTTAAGCTGTCCGGGCCACGGTTTTCCTCAGCCGTTTCTTTTGAGTTTGCATTTTTGCCATTAAATGCACTCTCTGCTTAAGAATGCAATACCCCTCATACCCAACCCCTCCCCTCATTAAAAATGTTTAAACAAATAGCAAGAGAATAATGCTAAAATTGTTTACCATCAAGGATGTCCGGAGACAGGAGACGACTAATTGCAGTTCAGAGATCGCGCATACGCCACTTGGAACTGGGACTCATGAGCAATTTTCCATATTAATTACAAGTCATATATCGGCGGCCTCTTTTAAAAGGATTGCCGTCAAGTAGCTGACAGTTCGTAGCACCGGCGGCGGGGCATGTGTGTCATAAAAAAAAGGTTGCATAAACAAATCCGGAGGCGGCGCAGTATAAACAAATTAGTAGCCAAGCAGGACGAATGGATTTCACTCCACAAGACCACATGCAGTGGCTGTGTGTGTGTCTTCAACCCTTCCGAAATCTGAAATCTGAAATCCGAAGCATGCCATAAAGCCGAAACTCAAAGTCAAAGTGAGCATGAATTACCGCAGATGAGCGAAATAAACCAAGGGGAGGGTTGTTTTAGTAACTTCACTCACATTAAAAGGAAAACCACTCAAACAGGGATTTTCACTCAAAAATATTGTATTTTTTGGAAGGGGAAATTGATGAAATTATTTGGAAAATTTATTTATTTATTTATTTAAAGCTAACAAATAGGTTTAAACTAAGAGCTAACGTAGAGTTAAAAGCCAAAGCAACTTAAGGCCTTCGGCTTGATAATTTTATAATTAATATTTTAAATAACTAAACTAAGAAGTAAAGCTGACACAAAAATCTTGTATAAATATTAATTGATTGATATAGTATAGTATATAGTTACAGATATTTCATCTGTTAAGATCCTTTAAATTAACTTTAAGAACTTAGTTTTAGCTTTTATAATTTTTTTTATTTTATTTTATTTATTATAATATTAGTCTGATTTTGCTTATTTTTTAAAACATTTTAACCCGGTTATTTCTGGTGTAAAAGTTAATTATTAAATGTTAAAATTGAAATTAATAATTTAATAGCAATATTTTAAATAAATAAAAATATTTATAAATAACTAAACTATTTTACTTATGTCTAAGATGTATATTTATTATTTGGATTTGATTCCGGCTTAATTAAATAATAATAATTATTATTGTTATTAGTATTATTATTATTCATTTTTTTATTATTATTTGTATAAGTTTTATTATTATTTATATTATTTTTATTATTACTTGAATTATTATTATTATTATATATTTATATATGTTATTTATTATTTGTATTATTATTTCTTTCTTAATTCTTACTTAGTCTTTCTCCATATTTTCATTGCCTGAATAACAAGTTTCCTGTTAACAAATATTGACTTTAAACTGAATTATGACAGGCAGAGAGGCCAAACGACAAAAAATAGCTAAAATATCCCTTTTATTGACACAAGTAATTACAACTGTCAATCGATTTTAGTGTCCCAAATTTGTCAAATGCCTGCGGGCTTTTAGTAAAAGAATGTGCCTGCAAGAGCATTATATGTACTTAAAGATCGTTCATTTCCAAAAAAATAATTGTTATTTCAGTTGGCAGTCGGCAGAGTGCTACGTTCAATGGCCCCAAATTCGACACTCGGAAAAAAACACTATTCTAAAATACTTATATCTTTATATAAAATAAAAATACATAAAGAGAATAAAGTTTAACTACAAGTTACTGCCAAAAAGGCATTATAATTCCCAAGTCTAAATTCTGTGATATAAAAACTTCCAAAATTTAAGGTCCTTTTCTGAAGGTCATTGATCTGACTTGACTAACGTCTATTAAATCGAGTTATTTAAAAACAAAAAGATATATATATATATATATATTTATTTAATGAATATACGCATATTTTTTCCTAGTGAAAGTCTAGTTGCTAATGGGAAAAATGGTGTTCCATATATTACCAACAAGTAAATATGAGCAACATTGTTGCCAGTCGCTCCTGCTCCTTCTGAAGTGGTTGATCGTTCGATCCAGTGGTCACATATATAACTATATAGCATGTCCTTTTTCCCAACACTGATCATGGGCGTCGTCGTCAGCTTGTGTGATTATATTTGTTCCATTTGTTTGTTTATAAACAACGCCTAGTCGTGCCGTTAAAATTGTCGCCGCCAGGCGCCACTTAAGGCGTTCCGTGTCCTTGTTGTCGTCAGCCACCAACTGTGCCGCTAAGGACATGTCTATGTTCCTTACCCCCTCCACTAATTTCTCCTCTCCCATCCTTCGATGATCTTGTGCAAAAGCGCCTGTCGTAATCGTAATGTAAGTCAGTGGTTTGTGGGTCACAGACGTCTGACTCCTCTGACACATTGAAGCACTTCTATGTCGACATTGAGTGGGCTCGTCATAGTCGATAATCATCATTTGCTCTTTTTTTCGGATCTTGGTCCCCGGTTTTCGCAAGGCTTCTCCGGCGGGCCACACGCATGGCCACTTCAATGGAACGGTTCTGGAGGCCCGACATCGGCCCGATCGCTGTCATTCTTGAAGGGTCTGAGAGAAGCCTCTCCCGGGCTGTTGATGCGGAATTGAGGTCATGTGGTATCAATTCAATGATACCAAAATGCTTGAGAATTTCAATAAAAACAAAAATTAAATCTCTTGCGGGGTATTATAATATTATTTAGAAGTTTCCAACTCTGTAAAGGGGACATTTTCGACCTTAAAAATTAAAAAACATTCTACAAAATAGAAGTAAACATTTTTACAACATTTTTAAAGGGGTTACAAATTTTTCAATATAATTTTTAATTTTTTTACATTTTAAAATCAATATTCTGGTTTGTTAATCTAATAAAAATCAGCTTAGAAAAGCTTTTGAATTGAAAGTAAAGACTTTCATCTTATGATTGTATTGCCAAGTGCAAGGGTATACAAACTTCGGCTTTCCAAGGTTAGATTCCTTTCGTTTAAAATAAATAGTAGGGCTGTTAACTTAAATTTTTATGAAATATATTTTTTTAGACTCCAAATTTCAGATGGATGTTTTTTAATCAAAAGCAACTATTTAAACTTTCAGTAAATACAAGAAACATTTGTCAAATTTAAGTAAATTTCTTTATTATTTGCATTGCCAATATTCTGCTTTAAATTGTAAGAACCCATTGAAAAAATAGAGAAAACCCCTTTTTAAAGTAAATTAAACACCCTTAAATATTGTTTTTCATATACAATTTTATTTTATTTAGCTCTCAAAGTACAACTAAAACTTAAATCTACTAAAGCTATGGGCTATCTAGTGGTTAGACATAGAGACTAAAACACAACTTCTAAGGCTATCACAAAAACGTGCCTCGGGATTCGCACATAATTCTCATTCGCTCAAATCCTTTCCAATTCAATCAATTTCCACATTCTCGTCCATATCCTCCGCCCCCGAATTATTGCCCTCAGCTCCACTCTCCATCTTCATTCCCTGATCGTTGGGACTGGGGCAGGGAGTTCGCTGAGGACGCACGGCACCTGGGATGGGAATGGGCGAGGAGGAAGCCGAGGATGCGGTCACAAAGCTCGAGGATTGTGTGGGCGGTGGTATGGGCTGTGGGACCTTGGGCTGGGGATAGAAGTACGGGAACGGCATCTGCATCTGGGGCAGCGGCAGGCCGCCGTAGGCCAACTGCAGCTGATGGCGATAGATGTTGATCAGCGCCGGATCCAGACCATGTCCCGTTCCCGGCCCAGCCATATGGGCGTAGGTGGTGCTGCCATCCTCCCGGACCAGAACCTGAACGGGAACCCGCTTACTGGCACCCAGGAGAGCCGCCTCATGCTGCTGGATCTGCTTGCGTTTGGTCTTGTAGCGGCGATTCTGGAACCAGATCTTCACCTGCGTCTCGGTCAGCCGCAGACTCTTGGCCATCTCGCTGCGCTCTGGTCCGGATAGGTAACGCTGTTGGGCAAAACGACGCTCCAGCTCGAACACCTGGGCATGGCTGAAGGCAGCCCGCGAGCGCTTCTTGCGACTGAGACCATTGCCGTCATGGGAAAGCGGCGACTCGGAGGGCGAACTGCTCAGCGGCGGCGGTGAGTCGCAGTCTGTTGATGGAAAAAATTACAGAAAAAAATTATAGAAAATTAGAAATTTATAAGTAACAAAGGACAAAGGCAGCACAATAGACATTAGTTGCTTTTGAAAGGATTCAACTTTGGGCATAACTTACCGGAATCGTTGCTGGTGCACCGCCTCATGTCCAAGGGAGCGGCAAGGGTGGACCCAAAATAGGCCAATTTACGTTGCATATAGTCCGCGGCACTGGAGTTTGATGGATTTTGTTGGATGGTTGCCTGGTGATGATGATTGCTGCTGTTGTTGTTGTTGTTTTCTAAAGCCGCCGCATAATATTGAAGATAATTTGCAGTTTGTTGCTGCTGCTGCTGCTGCTGCCTGGGATTCGGTGGCATCTCCTTGGCGCTGGAGAACTTGTACAGGCTAAGATCGCGACAGCATAGAGGCGGGGATTTGGAGGTGGATCGCTCGGATCTATCGGAGGGTCGAAATTTCTCTGGTTCCGGCTCGGAGTCCACGCTGGACACACGCCGCGCCTCCGGATTGCTGCGCGTGAGGATATCGTTGATGGAGAAGGGCGTTGTAAGGGATTTGCTCAGACCCGCCATGGCACCGCCGCCCACACTCGCACTTTCCATATTTAGCATTTTCTTATGTTTTTTATTTGATTTTCGAATTTTTTAAAATATTTTCTTTAGCACTGGTTTTCACTCCCGGAAAATCTTTCACGGATCTTCACGTCTCGAGGTCTGCGCAACGAATGTGCTCGAGTGGGACGCTCCGGGCTGTCTTTAAATAGCCGCCGAGATCCCCGGCGAGAAGCACTCGGAATCACGGAGTGGAAATATGCGCCGTACTCAAGTGGGGGTGGAACCGTATTACGTCTACGGATTGGGTTCCTTCCATTGGTGGTTTTTGCCAGAGAGCCTTTGAGTTTCCTCTCAAGTGCGTAAACAAAAAACAAAAAGGTTATCCTATATACTAGGGCGCCTTAGTTTTCCGAGAGTGCATGCATCCTGTTTATTGTTTACCAAACTGCTAACTGTTCTCTCTGTCGTATTTTTTATTTTCCAAATTTTACATTTTAGGTACAGTCCTCCACAAGTGTGTTGCCAACGGATCCCGAATGATTTGTTTAGTTTATCGATTTGTTTAGAATCTAAATCATTGGAAACAAATCGGGAAAAGGTATCCGTAAATGCACACACTTGTCTGTAAGTAGGTTAGTTGGGTAATGGAATAACTTGGAACTATTGGACAAAGACTAAACATAACGTAATATTTCTAAGAAATAAGGTACTTGTTTTATATTTCTTAAACTATAAGTTAGGTCCTAGCTTTTGTTATATTTTAAACTACCTAATAAGAAATATGACTGGAATAGTTTAGAATGGTTTTAAATAGTCTTATGTCGCATTCAAGATCCATTTTAAGTATATCTTTTTAAAATATAATTCAACAGAATGGTTTAATGTAAAATTTTTCAATCTAAAAGGCCTTAATCCCTTTGGTTAATCTTTTTTTTACAAAATTAATATTTATTAGAGTGCAAGATAATCCTGAATATTTTTAAATATTTTCCAAGTTTGTGGTCTTAGTAGCTATAGCTTCTATATTTAAGATTTTGTAAGAAAAATTATAAATTCTATAAAAATAAATTTATGTAATATTTTAAAATATATTCAGCAAAATAGAATTTATGTTTTTCAATGGTTTTCAAAAGAATTGCCAAAAGACAAAGTATTGAATCTACATTTAAAATCTAAGAAATTCTACAATTTACCTTAAGTCTTATAATAAGAAATTCCAAGTATTTTTTGTTTTAACCAAACTAATAATTAGTTCACATAATAATTTATAAACTACCAAAGATTTAAGCATAAAAAACTTTAAATTTTTAATTCTACAAACTCCGGAACATCTCCAAGTAATCTCTGACTTTCCAAGACCCAACTTAAAGAGCCCTAAATGCCGAGTTTGCGATCCAAATGAAGCGTGGGATTACTCAGGCCTGCCATTGGCTGACCAAAGGCACAAAGAAGCCTCTTCGCCGCTGATTGGATGAGGATGCCCCAGATGTGGGCAATATGGCTGCGCACTCACTCTTAGACTCTCACTCGAACCGAGTGAGATGCTGCTGGCTGGGAACTGGCTACGAGCCACACATGCTCGCCGTTGGGGGTGGTTTTTTTTCAGGTTTTAGGTCTCGATTCCTTCGCTACACTTCACACCTTCGGGCTATATAATCTTTTTATTGCCAATTCAGTGGCTCTTAATGCCGCGGGCGCTGAAAAGTCAAGCCAACAATGGCAAGGATGGCTCGAAAGGGCGAAAGGAGCTGGCGGGCGGGCAAGCTGGACTCTATTGCGGTTAGATATATGAGTAACCAATTCCAGGACCAAAGGACCAAACCAATTCCGCGGTGGTACTGCTACTCGTTATTCCATTTCGATTGAATGCCCCTCAATAATACTCGGGTAATTAGTGTATAATGATGCTTGTGGCAGGCACACGCGTCCGCAGGATCGCAGTTGTGTCGCTAATTTTGTTAGCTTCTTGTGATTCGGCTGATGCGATTATCCAGGAGCAGGAGCAGGTATTAAATAACATTTGACTGGGTAGGGTGGGAATGCCCAGTGCCCTCCCCGCCCTCTCCCTCTTTATGATGAATGGACATTTTCAATTAAATTCGACAGTTTCTTGTTTGACTTCGAAATGCCCACTCCACCCCAAAGAAAATCTCACAATATTTGTTGTTGTTTTTGCGGTTGTTCTTGTGGTATTGAGTTTTATTTAATGGTTTATCAAAAGGCACTTCAACTGTTTGCCTTTCCCCGTTTGTGATTATCATTCATGGCAGCGAAATCTGATCCCACTGACGGTACATTAATATCGCGACCAAACAAACAAGTGTTCCTTGTCTTAAATAGTCTATTCATTGATTTTTTCCAGAACTTTATAAAGTAGAAGATATTATTTGGCAACAAGTATTTTAATAGGTCAATGGAACATTTTGTATTTGAGTCTTTTTTGGAATAATTTAAAGTTATAATCCACTTAAAGAAAGTGAATAAGAAAGGATGCAGTCGTATTTATATATTAACACTTTCTGAATTGGCTAGCCACCATATATTTTACATCTTTCCAAAGATTAAAAGTCAGAATCGTATTTCGTGTATTTATAATGTTACATTTTAGTCCTTAGACTACAAAATAGACTGATTTCCTCAAAGTTTCCCAGCTCATGATCGATTTCAATTAATTAATATTTTTCTCTTTATTTTTAGCTTTTTATACCTTTTGCGTTATAATGATGTATGCCACAATGGATTCACTATTACTATCTATTATATTTTACATTAGAAAAAACCTATCTTAATTTATTCTTAATGTATGTATATTGTATATTTTAACGCACTTAATTTTTGACACACCTGTAAAGTTAAAGTTCAAATGTTATTATTTTTTTATTGCATAATATCTTGAGATTATTTTGTAAAAGTTTCACATCGATCAAATCCAAAAACAGATAATAACTAATTCTTCAGGTGCTCAAGTCAGACTTTCTTATTTTTTTAATATATTTTTATTTGACAAAGAAACTTAATTTTTTAGTCGAAACTCGGGGTTTTGACTTTTAATTTTGATACAAAAAAAAATTAGGAAAACATTTAAAAAAAAACATAAATAAAAATGCAATATATTTATTATTATTATAATATATATCGATATATACGACGATAGCCGATAAAATTGTAGACTCCACCACCACTAGAATGCAAGAGTGTATCTTTCTTGTTTTTGTTTTTTTGAATGCGAGAAAAGCTGCCATTAAGCTGCCGCCACGAAAATCAACTCCGGAGGAGGACCAGGTGGAATCAGGAGAGGAGCACAGCGTCGGGCATTGTGGCAAGTTCCGAAGAGCGCCTGAAGAAGAGGCGACTGCAAAAAAAGCTAATAAAATACATGCAAAATCGCCGTAAAAATATAATCGAGAAATTCTGCTTTTTTAGGGTAAAATAATCGCCAAAATGAACGCCAAGCAAAAGGAGTATGCACCCAGTATCCAGGAGCAGGAGCAGTTCCACGTGGATGCGGTCAATGCTCAGATGATGATCAGCAATGGGAATAATCGTGCTGCCGGCACGCTGCAGCAGCTGGGAGTGGGAAACAGCACGGTCGAAGTGCAGGGCAATGGCAGACACTCATTTCTGAATATTGTAAAAAGCAACACGAATGTCATCGATAATGAAGATCAGGAACGGCCTGAAAACACCGGCAACCTTCACTTCTGTTCCCATTGCCACAACGGTTTCCGCACCCTTGGCGCCAAGAAGACACACGAACGTGCCTGCCTCCGCAAGAGAAGCGAGGAGTCAATAGCGAATCGCCAGTGCAAGGAGTGCCACAAGATTTTCAGATCGGTGACCAATCTCAAGGCGCACATGAAAATCCATGCTGGCATTCAGCAATTCCGCTGCAAACGCTGCTATACCAAGTTTTTCGACGAGGGCAAATATTCGGCCCACATGGACCGGCACAAGCGCCAGGACGAACTGGTGGTCTGGGGGATCGCCCTGAGCGCCCAACATGTTGACAAAGAGTTGGTGGTCAAGGAGTTCAAGTGCACGTTTTGCAAACATAACTTTACGGCCGCCTTTGATGTTGGCCAGGAGAAGCGTCTTTATTCCTGCGATGCCTGCCACCAAAAGTACAGAAGTTTGGAGGTACAGCGTCAGCGCCAGCCGCGCGAGTTAGCCTGCGATCGCTGTGGCCGCCAGTTTGTCTTACATGGCTATCTGCAGCGTCATCAGCTCACCTGCGATGGCACCCTCAAGCGCCCGAGCCAAAGGCGTTAAACTTAAGGAGTAATAACTTGAAGCTAGGAGCATGGATGTCAATGAATGTGGAATCGAAAGAAACCATTGATTATTTAATTATATTTATTTAACCTCGATATATAAGAAAAAAATAAGAAACTGATGTAGAAAGCAACATATAAGGAAGAAGAAAAATGTAGGTCAAGTTATGTATGTATTTGTAAACCTTTTTCATGAATTTTGCGATTTTTTTTTTTTCTTTTTTTTAAATATGTTCATAATAAAATTATAAACAATTATGGCCTGAAATATTTTTCATATTGGGAATAAAGCCTTTGTAGTTGCTTTAGAGGATTTTCACCTTTTCGGCAACTGGCCAGACTTATACCGATCTTAAAACGCTTAATGAGTTGATCAGGAAAACAAGTCAAGGCATTCAACTATTTTCCTCTTTCTAACCCTTTTTCTGCTTTTTAAATTCTTCAAAATTGGAACGCAGGAAATGCACAAATTTTATTATTTATTTTGATAGAGTTAAAAAAATATATTTCACGGGAAGTCCCCTTTAAAAAGTTTACGACATTGGCGTGGCCAGACTATTAGAAAATGAACGACTTTGTATTTTACACGTAGATAATGCACAATGGCTGTTGTGGCGACATCTGGCGGATCACTACCAAGCAGTTCATCTCAGATTTTTTTATTATAAGAAAGCAGTTCAATAACGGTGTCGGTAGTGCTAAAACTGCTTGATCTAACTGCTTACTTTACACTGGGAAAATAAAATAAAAAACCAAAAATAAAAACAATGTTTTTCTCTTTTCTTCTAGCAGAGGTCTTATTTTCCAAGTTCGAGCAGTTCCGACTATCGTTTTTAAACTGCTTTCTTACAATTATTATTTTAAATAAATAAATTTAAAGAATCTTATTTAATCCCACGATAATTATTTGCATTTCCTTTAGCGTTCCATCTGAAAAAAAATATTCGTCTGCCCACCATAAATCAAAAGATTGTTTTCAATTTTTTTTAAACAAATTCTTTATATTTGCTTGCGTTTTTAATTTTTTTGTTTTTTTTTTTTTGTTTTTTCTTTTTGCTTTGTTTTTTCTTTTATAAAACTTTGTTTTAAGTTGTTCTTTTGTTGTTTGTTTGTTGTTTTCTTGCGGTTCTTGTATATAAATAATAATACTTATGGCTAGTAATATATAGTAAACGTTTTTCGATTTTTCATCGGCTTCTTCATAATCCTTTGTGGCCAAAAACATAATTTTGTTAATTGATCTGGTTGTTCTTGTTGTTGAAAAACTCGCCAAACAGCTGTTTGTTGTTCGTCTTGACATTGTAGTTGTTGTTGTTGTTGGTGTATTGGTGTTGTGGAATCGAAAAACTGCAACAATTGCAACTAACAAAGCTAAAGTTACGCTAATATATAGATTTTTTCCGTTTCATCGAGCTCACTTAAGCCTAGGAGTTCGCTGCTCTGCCTTTAAACTTACTTAGCTAACAATATTTACACTTATCAAAAATTTGCTAATAGTTTTTGCTTGCTCATTTGTCATAATCATTGTGTTTTTTCTTTTTTTATTTTATAATTTTTTGTTCTTTGTCGTTTTCTGTTTCTCACTTAGTTACAAAGTTTCTTTTTAATAAATTGCAATAAATTTGAGTGCCATCGGATTGCTTTTGCGGAGGAGCGGAGCTGTGGAGAAGGGGATGCCGTAGGACCAAGGATAAGGGTTACATGCACGTTCACAACCTGAGCATAATTAGCAATTACGATCGAGAATCCCCTCTCTCCAGGCACTCTCCTCCCTTTTCCTTTCAATACTGCTTGGAATTGCTAGTGGGCGCCAGCTGGCGACGCGACCAGCACGCCGCCGCTATCCGCCGGGGAGCCTGCCTTCCTCGTCCTCGTTGTTGTCTACAACTGATACTAACTGCCGACCATGATGTGGGCAGGCTGCTCCAGCTCGTTGTCGTGGAGGCGAGAGGCGGCCACCACCTGGCCGCCGAGTCCGCTCTTGAACAGATCCTCGGAGCTGAGCTTGCAGCTGGGCACCAGTTCCGTGAACTCGGATCCCAGTCCAAACTCCATGTCCAGGAATCCATACTCCCAGGTATTGGCGCCCGCCGACACATTCGAACTGATGCTGCTCACGTAGGACGAGGTCAGCGAATGCGTCGCCGAGGAGATGGTGGACAGAGTCGTGAAGGTGGCCGTAGTGGAGCTCGAGCTCCCACTGCTGCTGCTGCTGCTACTGCTGCTGTTCCCACTGTTTGCCTGAACCGTGGTGAAACTGCCACTGAACGCCAGTGTCGAGGACGAGGAGGAGCTGGAGCTGCTGGCTGGCACTGAAACCGGCACGGCTGTGGGTGTAGCCGCCGCCGGGAGTATGCTGAACAGATCGTTGTTGTTCAGCGGATCCAGCGCCGATTGTGAGCTCAGGCTGAGCACCGAGCTCCAGTTGATCGAGCGAGTGGAATCGTCGTCCGCATAGCCAGAGTCGCTGGTGTCGCAGTTATTGCTGCTGCTGACGACCGAGGCAACTGGAGGATTGCTCCCACAGCCGCTGGAGGCGATGCTGCCACTGCTGCTGCCTGTGCTCGAGGAACTGGTGTTGCTGCTGCTGCCGCTATTGCTGATGGCGGGGGAACTAGAACTGCTGCCATTGCTGCTGTTGCTGGTGATGCAGTTGCTCAGGACGGCGGAGGCACCACTGGATGATCCCGGTGCAGCTGATCCTGGGGCCGCTGCAGCCGAAGCTGCTGCCGCTGCTGCTGCTGCTGCTGCTGTGGCTGTGGGGCAGGCGGGAAAGGGCGTGGCTCGACCAGACTGCGACTCCCGGAAGGGATAGTGGTCATAGGGATGCAGATTACTGCTGGCCGCTGTTGCTGGCGAGGCTGCATTGCTGTTGTTGCCGCCACTGGGGGATGTATCACAGTTGCTGGGCTGCGTGGCAAAGCCACTGGCTCCCGCTGCCACTCCTCTGTAGGCGGGCTGGCTCTCCAGGCGCTCATGGTAACCATGTTGCTGCTGTTGTTGCTGAGGCTGCTGCTGGGGCTGGAAATTCAGTTGCTGGTAGTGATCCATGTTGGCCAAGCGGGCACAGTTCAAAACTGGCGCATAGTCCATCTGCTGCTGCTGCTGTTGCTGCTGGGGATGCGGATGCAGTGGCGCTGGCGGGGATTGCTGTTGCTGCTGCTGGTAGGCTGGATGGTATTGCGCTGCTTGGGCGGCCGCCGCTGCTGCTGCGGCTGCTGCTGCCGCCGCCTGCTGGTGATGCTGCTGCGCCGCCTGATGCAGCTCCTTGGCCTCCGCCTCGATCTCGCGATCGATCCGCTTCAGCGTGTTGCAGATGAGCACTGAGCGGTACAGCGACTGCTCCGAGACCTGGCGGAAGCGGGAGAGCTTGAACATGGACAGATTGCGTATCTTCAGCCGCGTGTCCTTGTAGCAACTCCTGTTGGCACTGCACCATCCGCCGGCCCGGCCATCGCAGCATCGTTTCAGGGGCAGACCGTGGAGCGGCAGGCCGGCAAAAGGAACAGGAACGGGCGCCGAGGAGGGTGGCGGACTGCTGGGCGATCCTCCTCCTCCTCCAGCGGCGGCGGTGGGCGAGCCACTGCTGCAGCCCAAATCCAAATAGGACTTGCCATTCTCTGCACAGCGAATCGTTTGTTGTGGCGGCGCCGCCGGTTGGGCATACGCGCCTCCTCCTACTCCGTTCGCCGTCTCGTAGAACTGCTGACCTCCGGCTGCGGGATTCGCCGGACTGCTGCCTGCACCCGCCGTTGCCCACTGGGGAGGAGCGAATCCACGCGCCTGCTGCGGCGTTGGCGGCGCTTGAGTCATGTGCTGCGGTCCTCCGGTCCGCGAGCAGTTCTGCTGCGGGAAGGGCTCCGAATAATAGTTGGGCTGCCGACTGCCATAGCCCGGGGCATAGCTCCTCTGCTGCTGTTGCTGGGGATGCTGTGGCTGCTGCTGCTGCTGGGAGAGCTGCTGAGGATGGGCCTGCTGTTGCTGCTGCTGGAGAGGGTGCGGCGGTAGCTGGTGCGGATGCGAGTGCGGGTGCGGATGGGGCACAAATGGATGGTAACGCATGGGACAGTAGGTGGGTATGATGCTCTCCTCCTCCTCGTAATCGTCCTCGAAATCATCATCGTCGTCGTCCAACTCATCGGCGCTAAGCAGCGTCGTTGCCAGCGTGGAACGCGTGGCAATACTGCCCCACGGATCACTGGGCACGGCCACTGCCTGCAGCTTGGAGATGCAATCCACGGGCTCCGAAGAGGCAGCGGCTCCTCCAGCCACCGCTGAGGGCGTTGAGGAGCTGCCAACAGCGCTGGTCCAGGGTTCACAGGGCACGGCGGATGTCACCACTTCCAGCTTGGCGATACTGTCCTCCGGAATGGCGGCACTCGCAGTCGGTGGCAGCGGCACCTCCGCTTGACTCTTCAGAACGGCGACGGCTGCGACGGCGGTAGTAACTTCATGACCATTGCTAATACTTGTCTCCGTGGGCTTCATTGCATCCATATCCATGTCCATGGATGCATCCACCACTATATGGTTATTGTTGGACTCGATGGCCGCTGCGGCTGGCTCCGCGGGCGATTGCTGCTGCTGCTGCTCCTCGAGCGATTCCAGGTAGTTGTTGTTGCTTATGGCCCACTTGTTGGCCTTGACGGGGGGTGGGGCACAGGTGCCCGTGTAGGTGGTGTTGGCATCCTTGCTATCGAAGGTCAGCTCATGCTTCCGCTTCGTGGCGGCTGTTGCTTGAAGACCCATCGCGGAATTTACCTGCAAATCGAAGGGAATACAATTTATTTAGTGATTTGCCGCCAAAAATAGGAAGAGAAATACAAAAGAGTTTGAAAAGTTTGCGGGAAAAAGAATTCTACACAGAGGGAAAAGTTTGCGACCTTACACAGAGCGAAAAATGTCACAAAGAATCTTAGTTTTAAGACATGAAATCGTGGAAAAACTCATTTTTATTGGGTCGACTGCGAAATTCTTTTTAAATTGTACCTAAAAGTATGCAACAAAAGTAATACGGAGTTTCTGATTTATTTTAGCCTAATTTTGGGCTTTATTTAAATGGTTTTAATTTCACTTCTCCTTATAATACTAACTTTATGGGATTTAAACAACTTATAATTATTATTAATATGTTTTTACTATATTTTTTTACCTTACTCCCTAGTCTACGGTCCCATTTTCCCTCTGTGCATCATAAATTTTCTCCCAGTTCTCGCACAACCCCAACAAAGGACACACAGCTAGCTGAAAAACTTATCAAGAAAATGGAAGTCAGGCACAGGGCAGGCGGCAGACTTGAACTCCCCCTTATTTTCCTTTTTTTTCTTTCCTTCCACCCATTTTTCCAACCCCCGCCGACCGATTCCTTCCGCCCACTCGAGCCATGAAAATGAAAATGAAATGGAAAATGCCAGCAAGGCAGCAAGAACGGCGCACAAGAGCGCCAGTCAAGCCAGGCCAAGTCGAGGCTGTCCGTCCGTCCGTCTGTCAGTCAGTCACCCTCCTCCGCCACCCACTCGACACCAACAACATCCCCCTTCCCGCCTTCTGCCTCCTGCCTTTCTCCCTGCTGCTGGCATTGCTCATCGACGCTGCTCGAAATCTTCTTAAAATAAAACGCACTGAAAAACTGTGTGGGCAGCGCGACGATTGCCTTAGTCTTGCTCTTCTTCGCTCGGGCTCTTTCCCATCCAACTTCCGCCACATTTATTGTGAGACTTTTCTCTCTGTTTTTTCCCAGTCTTTCCTTGGGTTTTCTTCATTTTTTTTTTAAAACAAAACTATTTTTGGATTTTCGAGTTCTGCTCCAGCCATGGATTTTGGATCAACACAAGAAAACATGGAACAATGGCAGGGAAGAATTCTCCGGAAAGGCTGTATTTTTAATAATGAAAAGTGAGAAGTATGGAGAGAATTTTGGATTTTATAATTATTAAATATTATTTTAAAAGCCTAATGAAATTATATAAATATTTTTCACTTATGAAGTTGTATTTCTTGCCTAAAAAAATCTTTATAAATATTACAAATCTGTCATATAATTGTATTATTTTAAATACATTTTATTTTTAAATATTTTTAAACATTTTGGAGTTTTTTACTCCCTTTATAAAATAAAATCAAATTTCTTATAATCCTCTCTGGCCTATCGATCGCTGAATCATGTTTGGGATTTAAAACCCACATCTCTTTCGAGTTTTCCCCCTTTTTCAGTGTTGCCACCCCGCAATTGCCGGCTTTCCCTATTGAGTTTTGAACATCTGTGCGAACGGCGAACGGCCTTTGTCATATCCATATCCATAAGGGTTGCCATATGCCAGCATATTTTCTGTTTGCCGGTACTGCTGCTGCTATAGCTGCTGCTGCTATTGCAGTTCAGCATTTGATGGGGGAAATATACTCGCCATACGAGCAGCAGCAGTAGCAGCAGCAGCAGTCTCTTGGTGCGACAACGGAACCCGAGCCCGAACCCGAAGAGGGTGAGTTTTCGCTCCGTTCGCTGTTATCGTCATCGAGGTCGTCGTCGTCGTCGTCGTTGCCGTTGCCGTCGTCGAGTCGCATGTGTTTCGCATTTTTCTACCCCCTCCTAGCCCATGGCCTGTCCCTTGTTTGCCTCAGCCTGTCTGCCTTTGCCTCTGACTCCGTGGCTGCTATAGCCGCATGTCTCATCATCGCATTTCATCCCTCGTTTTTGGTTTGCGCGTCTGCAGCTGTATTTTCGGTGTTATTTTTGGTATAGGGGCTGGAGCGAGTCTAGACATGCTGGCCGTACGGATTCGCCCTTTTGGGAACGACGTCTTTAGCCGCAGCCAAAGCGAGAATCCCCCGAAACGAAAGTTGTTTCCCTTCTTGGAATTATCGCTTGGTTGCTCCATGTCCCACAGTCATACCCGTACCCATACCCTGGCTGAGTCATTCTTATTATCAACGGGGTATTTGCTTAAAAAGGCAAGTGTGCTTTGGCTGGCTCATTGCTCATTGTTCTGACGACGGCGACAACTGGTCGTATGTGTAATGCGGCCGAAGCTCGTTGCGCATACGCCGTGTGTGCGCTCGGAGCGCTTAAAAGCTGCGCTAAAAACCAATCAGCAAGCAAAAGCTCTAATCAAATTGCAACTTGCAACGGGAAAACCAAATGAACAAAACAAAACAAAAAGAAAACTTTCTACGCTAATTTTCGTTCGAATGGAGAAATGCTGGCCGTTGTTGTTGTTGGCATCATTATAAGCCGCAACAGCAAAAGCAACAGCATTTATACAATGCTAGCCATCATCTTGGTACGGACTGGCTGATGATGATGATGATTTTTCGAGCTGCGTTCGCCAGCTTGATGTTGCTGGAAGTTGAGTTTTATTGCCACACCAACATCACTCTGGCCAATTCCAAGCGGCAACCAGGCACTGCGCCACAGCAGCAACACAAAAGCCAGTCCCCCGTCAAGCGTTCGTTGCTTTTTACCCACCAGCAACGAGCAACATCTAAAAGCAACAGCAGCAGCAGCAGCAGCATTTTACGCTTCGCCAGCAACTCGTTTCAGCTGCGGACTGAAAAGCAGTCGGAGGTTTTGGCGACTCTGACAGGGCGAACGGTGAGCGGGGAACGGGGAGGGGGACTGGGACTGGCTCCAAATTGACGGGCCGAGTCTAAAGCTCGCACGCAGCGTCACTGCAGTTGCTGCTGCCGCTGTTGCTGCTGCTGCTGCTGCAGTAACAACAGCAAAATCGTCGTCGCTACCTTCAAATTCCACAATATTCAAGTTTCAGGTTATGAGCCAACCAAGCAGCCGGAGCCAGTCAGCCAGCCAGCGAGCCAGCAGAAAGCAACCCAACCTGAGAGCCGGAGCCAGTCATCGTCAGAGGCAACAACAGCAACACGAAATGTTTGCCCGAAAGCCAGAGCCAAGAGCTAAGAGCCAGAGTCAGAGCCAGAGCCCGGGACAACAAACGGCCACAAAACGAAACGTCGTCGTCCGCTGTGGGGGCACAGTGGTTTAAAACATTACTTACAATGCATTTCAATTATATCTATAAAGTAAAATTTAAATATTTATTACTTATTTATTATCTATTAATAGGCTTTAAGGTTTTTCAAAAATGATTCAGTAAAAACCTTTATTTAAGTTTAAAAGTTATTTTGGATATCATTTTTTAAAAGCCTTTAAATCAGTTTTATTTTATTTCAAAAGAAAATCAATTTTAAACAAAAATTTTAGGAGATTTTAGCAAATATATTGATATATTTAACACGTTACAATAAGAAATAAGAGGTAGTTAAACAATGATAATACTTTATTAATTTTATAATTAACATGTATTTTAAAACCACTAATTGTTTATCACATTTTTGAAAAATTCTTTGATTAATTCCAAATTTGAAATTTATTAGAACATATAACTTCTCCGTCTGTTTATATATATTCTGGAGATATTTATTATCGTTGAGATTCCTAAATTTTATTTCCAAAATATTTGACTACAGTAAACCCCCTATTCCGCTCCACTGTGATCGCTTAAGAGTCGACTTCCAAGCATTTAAGTCGGTCGACGATGTCGTTGTCGTTGTCGCTCCCTCCAGTGCCTGACTCTGGCTATAACTCTGGGCCGTGGGCTTTGGCTCTGGCTCTGGCTCTGACTGTGTGCCGCCGATCCACTCTGGTCGGATCGGGTACGCTCTGCCCAGGTCTGGTCTCGAGTCTCGAGTTTTAAGTCTCGGGCCTCGAGTCTTGCGGGTCTCGGTTGGGGCCCCACTTTGAATTCTTCGGCAGCGAAACGGGCCCGAGACCGAGCCGCGCACAGAAAAGACGTCAAGACGAAACGAACACAAAAAAATACAAAAAAAAAAAAACAAGTAGAAGCAAAAAGCCGAGTTTCGGTTTTCGAGCTGGGTTTGAGTTTTAGCCGCGATCTCCGCCGCCAAAGCAATTTAGGTGTACGAGCCAAAGAGGAAGAAGAAACTTTGGAAACATAAAAAAGAGCGCGCCGAGCGAAAGAAGACGGGGCATAATAATAAAAAAAAAGAAAGAAATATAAGAAGAAAAAAATTACAAGCCAGAGCCGGAGTTCAACGAAAAAGCACAGAAGACAGCGGTCCGCTCATCATAATAAAAATGAATTGAATTGAAGACGACGACGACGACGCTCGCCCGGTTGCTCTCTTCAGCTGGGAAGAAGCGCTCGAGTCTCGAGATGATGACGCCGATATGGTGGCTTGTCTCTCGGTCTTTCCCATGCTGGTGGCTCTGTTATTTTCCCTCCCTCAATGGTGAAAACTTGGAACGCCAAAACACCCACAACAATAACAGAGCGTACAAGAGCGGGGCGACAAGAGCAACACACATATTTTCTTATAGCGGCACATGATGTTGTGGGAATGAAGAAAAGAAAATAATATCCGAACCCGGTCTTTCTGACTCTGTGGAACTTTTATAATTTGAATTAAAGATATTTAAGACTAACTACGGAGTGGGGTACATTCTGTTTAGGGAATTGTTTTGAGTAGTATTTGAGTAAGCATTTGTGAGTATAGAAATTTAGAGTAGCTAGTGTGTGGTATATCTTAAAGGTTTTGAATATTTTAGAGTACTATTAAAGCTATGATTATAACATTTGTACTTATAGATGTTTAAAAGTAACTACTAAGTGGGGCATATTTAGAGTTTTGAATATTTTCGAGTATTACTGAAGATATGGTTCCGAAAGCCGCATTATTTAAATAAAAATTTTGTGATTTAAGCAGTACTATTCACAAAAAGACGGAATCAT